TCCCTATATGCATTATCATTATGCGTATCAACGTACTGTCACCTTAGCATTGTCGGCTAAAGCGGAGTTAATTCGATATATGATCTACATACAGCATAAATTACATTCCTGATATTTATATAATCTCCACTAACACAATTGCATCAAAAAGGCAACTCTAAACCTCGCGCTCCGCTTTAGCCAACCACCGTATTGGGAAAAGCGTTTTTTCATAAACATCACGTACGCGCAGTATATATGCATAACTATTGTTCGTCCAATTTTATTTTTCATATGCTAAAACCGGTTCTTATCGTGTTTAATATATGAAAAATAAACCCGGTTTCAAAGTAATTACTCGATGATTACAGTAGTATATTGTATGAACAAATGAATATCCGGAACAAATAAATATCTGGATTTATATTTTTGATGAAAAGTTGATTATGTATACAAAACAAAATGCATACAAAACACTTATAACCATGCATATTTTTCATAGAAAAATAAAGGTATTTCGATATCAAATCTCAACAGTGCATGGTCAACTGAGATGAAATCAGCATTTTATCGATAGTTTAATAATAATGGTAATAAAAAAAAAATTTGCTTTTAACATAATATATTGTAAAGTAAATAAATAATAGCAATAAGAATGATATTTGCAGAAAAAATCTATAACATTTCATCTGATTAAATTTATTCGATAATTTATCCAAACGTAATTTGAGATTTACCACCAGGTTGGTTCAGAACACTAAAATAAACAAAAAAAAAAAAAAGAAAAAAAATTACTACTAAAGTATAAATATATGAAAGAATCTAATCTAATACTTGCCGGCTTGAAGTCCTGATATTATTGCGAGGTGCGGCTGATCCATCATCAGTAATTCCAGTAGTGGGCTCATATTGATTTTGACCACGTCTCTTGCCATAACGGCTTATTCCCACATTTTCAACATCTCCGCCATCGTCACCAATCTGAATTTGTGATGCATTGGAATTAGGATTGATCTTTTTTTGAGAATGCTGTATAGGATCACGATTCGGTTGAGCTTGATCATCACCAATAGAGAATTGTGACTGATTCTTGTTCGAATTGAATCGGCGGTTTGTCACATCTATTTAAACAAGTATATGTAAAATTTGTACCAATGACTTATAAATAAAATACTTTCGGTTTTTATAAATTCCAAAATAAAAAATAAGCGGATATTACGGTCATCTGGTTCATGGTCGAAAATCGTGGATTTACCACCGGTACCACCAGGTTGATTGACACGACTGCTGGTATGAACATTACGACGACCACCCGATATTTCTAATAAATTTTTTAATTAACGTTATATATACATAAATAAATTCTAATATAATAATATAAATAAATGATGCATACGATTAGGATTCATACGAGCAGCGGCCGGCTCGACTCTACCAAATGGATTGAGTACAGCATTTGAAGCATCCTTCACTGCATCCACTTGCCTTTCACCTAAAACAGGCCAGGTGTTCTTGTCCCCAATCCTAAATAAAATGAATATATAAATAATTACGTTTGTATATGCACATTATAGCATAGTAAATATAATTACAATCTAAGTTGTTTTAAAACAGTGGCTTGATCCCAATAGACGCGCTTTTAAAACATTAAATGAATAAGGACAAATGTTTAGAAGTCCAAAAGCAAAGTTAACAGAACGCTAATAATATGATGATCACTTACTATAGAGGAGATTTTATCACCTTCGAATGTTGCCACGGTTACCTAAAAAAGATTCCATTTTTTAATTAACTAACTTTATTTATATATATGTAAAGTTTCCACCTGATTGGTAGAAATTTTTATGTGTGGGTCACAGTGTATGAATAATTAATACACTAAATACTCTATTAAACATTACAAACATTTACCGTTGGAAAAACAACGTGGTTATCCTCCGTATATCTGCTATCAACTCCTGGCACAAGCCAAGCTCCTTCGCCAGCAACAAATTTAACGGTTGTTTCTGACTCTTCAACAATAGAGTTTTGACCAATAGTTTGATGCAGAACGTTTTCTTTCACATTAAGTACTCGAGTATCGTAAGCGGCCGAGAGAAATTTTCTTGCATCTTCATATCCTCTAGCTCCAGCGGCCGTGGGTACAAAAACTACAGAAACGTTATCTGTGAAAAAATCACCATCACGTTGCTGTTTGTACTCATTCCAAACTTGTTCAATACTCATAATGAAAAGTTTTTTTATTTTTTTAGATCTAGAATAAATAAAAGATATCATTAAATATTCGTATTAACAAAGGTTCATGTATTTGTTTTTTTTTTTCCTAGTATAAAAACTTCATTCGAAACTGTAGAATATAGAATATTATGATTTAAAAATTACATACAACGAGTTCGATATAAGTTTATACGCGTCTTCAAGGGAAAATGAAGACAGTAAACGTAAAAAAATTTTTAAGAGCTCAGTATGAAGACAATAAGATATATAAATAATGAAACTGTTACACGGAATGTACTTGCACAAAGAATATCTTTTTGTGACTAATTAGGAATTTAGCATAATATGCACAAATTTATCTAATTACGCGATTCATCTCGTGACTGGTAATTGATAAATTTTTATTGCATGAATTTATTATAATCTCGTACGAACTGGGTTTCTTATCAATTGTTTTCGTTTTAGCAATAACCCAATCAATATCAGATGATCCTGTGATGTCTCGGCTTTAATAGTCCCCCGAACAAGAAAAATGTCCGTAATATTGGCACTAACCATCAAGATTGTTTATTAAAAATTCATAAATTTATATAAACTGACTCGGTGAAAATACGTGCGTACGTACGCATATAAACCCACATATAATTCTTATCTTGATAGTGGCTCTGTTGATATAAACACCGACCTTCTGATGTTGAAAGACAATATTGCTTACTATTTCCTTTGTTCTGTGTTATATACAATGATACGAAAATGTCCAAAATTTTGTAAATGTTACTACGGTATATCAAAAATGAATAATGTTTATTCCGTTTTTGGTATATTGTTTACTATAATTTGTTAAGATTATTTATTTATTAATTAAAAAAAATTTTTAAATTTGCTAAAAAAAAAAAAAAATATATAAATAAAGGTCATAGAGTTAACGAACGATTCTTATTTAATAAATTAATTTTTAAACGCACTTTACATTTATGGATACTATATCGATATGTTAGGTAAATTACCATTGCATATATCCGGGGCTTCAATAATTTACTATCTATATATATAATTTATTATATACTATATACGTATATATATACTGTATAAAAAAATATATGATAATACTTCTATAAGTGTATGTACTCTCTATAGGCTATTTAGGTTAGAGAAATACAGTATATAAAAACATATATGCATACCAGTGCCTAGTCTCAAGCTTGAAACTTAGAGCTAGGTGCATTAATATAATTTATTTTATTATTTAATTTTTTTAGAAAATGTGGGTTCAAGCTCATAAAATGACTTTTTTATACGTTCGTATATGAGTGTCGCTAAAAGAAAACCCGAAAATTTAAATATAAGTCATATTTAAATTGTCGGGTTTTCTTTTAGCG